TGGGTTAACATTTAATATGTGACATATGGATCCTATTTCATTTTTCTGCATAAGGATATCCAGTTTTGAGAGCACCATATGTTAATGAGACTATCTCTTCCCCATTGAATGGACTTTAACTTTTCTGGAAGATCAGCTATCTATAATTGGATGAATTTACTTTTGGTTCTTCAAGTCTATTCTATTAGGTTATGTATCTGTTTTTGTACCAGTACAAAGATATTTTGACAAGCACAACTGTATAATAAATTCTGAAACTGGGAAGTGTTCTCCTGCCTTGTTCTGCTTCAATAATGCTTTAGCTGTTTGGTGTCACTTTCCTTTTCATATAAAGTTGGAGATTAGTTATTTTCCATTCTGTTTAAAAATGTAGTTGATGCTCTGAAATAGATCATATTAGAAGTGGGAGAAAATATGAAAAAAAGTGGATGAAGTGGGAGAAAATATGGAACAAAATGCAAAATCATAAAAAAGACCAGGCTTTCTGGTCAGATAGAAACTGGCAGAACCTGAGACTATGGCCCTTGGTCATTCTTCAGATACGGAACTGAACTAACACCCGTGGCTCAATTTTTATGCAAGCAATAGAGATAGGTATATAGAGGAGAAAACAACGCTAGTAAAGTATGCACATCATAGAATGCTCAACCATTTGAGATCAAAGGGCAGCCTTTACGCAAGGATAAAATTCGAAAAGCTGAGAAAGAAGAAGGAATGGAAACAAAACACAAGGTGGAAGTGGGGTCAGTGATATTACATAAAGGGATTGCAATCATAGAGATGATTTGTTGAATGTTACTGATGATCTGCTCTGTAAACCTTCACTCAAAACAATAAAAAGGATGGATCATGAGTGCATTCTCTATACATCCTTTTGGGAAGTATTGACATTTTGACAATGTTAAGTTCTAACAATTGTGAATATGGTACAGGACTGGGCTGTGTTTTGTGCTGCTGTGCACAGGGTCGCTATAAATTGGAAAGGACGTGATGGCACCGAACAACAATAACAGCAACAAGTCTTCCAATCCATGAGCATTGTATATTTTTCCATTTGTGTATGCCTTTTTTTGTTCCTTCCAATAGTGTTTTGTGGTTTTCTTTGAATAAATCTTTTACGTCCTATGGTTAGATTTATTTCTAGGTATCTTATCTTTGTGGCAGCTATTATAAATTGAATTGTTTTTTTGACTTGCTTTTCTGAGTTCTCTTATTATGTAGAGTAATCCAGATTATTTTTGTATGTTGATCTTGTGTCCTGTCACTTTGCACTAATCTGTCTATTAGTTCCTGTTACTTTAATGAGGAATCCTTGGAATTTTCTATGAACAGGAATAATTTTACTTCTTCTTTACCAATTTGGATACCCTTTAGTTCCCTTTCTTGTCTTAATTGCTCTGACTAGAACTTGCAGGGCAATACTGAATAAGAGTGTTATTAATGGATATTCACTTTTGATTCCTCTTTTGAAGAGGTAGGCTTTCAGTCTCTCTGCAATGAGAACAAAGCTGGTGGTTGGTTTTTAATGTTGTTGTTGTTGTTAGGTGCCATTGAGTTGGTACCAACTCATAGCAACTCTATGCTTAACAGAATTAACTACTACCTGGTCCTGGGTCACCCTCACAATTGTTGTCATGCTTGAGGCCATTGATGCTGCCACTTTGCCAATCCATCTCGTTGGGAGTCTTCCTCTTTTTATCTGACCCTCTACCTTATCAAACATGGTATCCTTCTCCAGTGACTGATCCCTACTGACAGTATGTCCAAAGTATGAGAGATGAAGTTTGGCTATCATGGAACACTCTGGCTGTACTTCTTCCAACACAGATCTGTTTTTTTTTTTTGGCAACCCATGGCCAAAATTCAATATTCTCCTCCAACACCATAACTCAAAACATCAATTCTT